GGGCGGGGGACGTGCAAGCAAATGTTAGGAGATTTCATCAATATGCAGATTGTCAATAGGACATGACCAGAGTAGGGAAAGAAGGTGCAGCCATGGGAGGGACCAACCTCACCCTATTGGTGTACCTGGTTATCTGGGCAGAGCCTAGAGGCAGATGTTCAGGGTACCATAGGATGGAGTGGTTGGCTGTGGTGTGGGAGGGAGCTGTAGGCTGGGGATAGGAAGAGCAGGTACTGTTGATAGCCTAGGGATTGTTGGTAGCACAGGCTAACCAGACGAGGCTAGAGCACTGGTCATGGGACCCAGGCTAGATCTAGGGGTTTTGAGGAGAGTGAGTATAAAAGGTAGTGTCAGGCAGATTAGGGCCTGGAGGAGAATCTCTGAAAATGTAAGCTAAATAAACCATTTCCTCCCCTAAGTTGCTTTTGGTTATAGTGCTTTATCATAACAATAGAAAGGCAACTAGAACAAGTATTCAGTTAAATTAATAGATTTCAGGGGGAAAAAAAGGTACCAAAGGAAAAAGACCACAAAAAGCAAACACAAGAAAATAGTGTGGCTTGAACCCAAACTATATCAATAATTACTTAAATATGAATGGACTGACTAGGTCTATTAAAAGTCAATGGTTGTCAGACTGAATGAATGATTCCACTGTGTGTATTTACCAGAGATGTATACTACATAAACAATGCAGGTAAGTTAGGAGTAAAATGACAGAAAGATAGATCATGTAGACAACAAATTACAAGGAAGTGAAATAAAATGTAAGAGGTGCACTTGGGGATTTAGCTCAGTATTGGAGCATTTGTCTAGCAAATGCAAGGCACCAGAAGACAAAAGTAGGACAATACAAAAGATAACCCAAGAGGCACAATGTTATTAGTCACTACAGAGAGCAGAACTTAAGAAAGGGTCAAAGAAGTGCTATGAAAGTTTTCCTGGATTTGAAGGACATATACCTCCAGATTTAAAAAGCCTGTCAGTACCCAATACAACAAAAATTCTTTAAAAAAATCTCCTTCATAACATTCCAAAAAGTTCTGAGAGATTAAAAATATATAGGTACAAGTTCTAGGGTAAGCATGACATCAGACTTCTCAACCAAATCCTTAGACAGCAACATCTTTCCAAAACCAAACTATGTCAGTCTAATAGTTTCCTCAGCTCAGCTACCATCCAAGTGTGACATGATGTACAGGCTATCCAAGCATGCAACACCTTGAAATTTCTACTTTCCTATTCCAAAAGTTATTGATGGACGTGCATTGCCTGTCAAGAGAGTAAAGCTAGAGTTAAAGAAGCAGAGGCCACACTCTGAAGAGGGGAAAGAAACTCTTGGGCTGGAGGAAACAGACGTGTCCCAAGGTTCTGGCAGGGCATCAAGCCTAAAGCATATTCAATGTAGGAGGTGACAGAACAAACCAGGGATGTCTCCGGGGGAGAAAAATCAGATACATTTACATAGGAAAAACATTGGGCGAGGAGGATTTCCCAGTTCCCTTTGCAGTTAAGAATGAGCAAGTAACACAGTGCTGGCCAGTGAGATGGAAGCTGCATTCTACCAGGTAGAAATGATAGAAAAACAATTGTTTACCATTGAAAAACAATGTCAAAGACTGGCTGACAGCCATGCTGTGGTCCTTACTGCTTCCTCCTGCCTGGAGTGAGAATGTGGAATCTGAAGGGCATGGAGGAGACAAACTGAGCCTGTCTGAGGAAAAGCTACACACTAAAGATTTTGCACCACCACCCACCATCTACTTCCAAGCTTGGATCAGGTTGCAACTCCTGAATCTCAGCCAGTTGCCTATGTCCAACTGATTTCATTACATCTAAGCCGTATCCAAAATCTAGTCCCAACCCAACCCACCCATCCTCTCTTCTGCCCCAACCTGCTCTGTCCATCTCCGACACAGAACAAAAGAAGTTCACATGCCCAGATCTCCTTGCAAAAATACAAACAACATGAAGAATTAAGGCAATGACTCCTCCCACCCCCAAATCCACTAGTCTTATAGAAATGTCTGGCAATAGCAATTACCTAGATGGACCCAAGACACAGAATTAAAAGAATCATCATAGACTTCATCAAAAAATTCAAGGAGTTTAAAGAAGACACAACGAAACAACTTGATGGATTTAAAGAAAAGGAAATTAAAAGGTATTAAATGCCTGAGAGATGCCCAGGAAGACACAAACCTAAGGCTGATGGAAACGATCCGGGATTTGAAAATGGCATCCAATAAAGAGAAATGTTGAAGAAAGCACAAACTTACATACAGATGGAGCTTCTAGAAAACCAAAGGAAAGCCTTACAAGTAGAAATAATCAAGCAGAAGATAGAACATTAGGACTTGCAGATAAAGTAGAGGATTGAGATGGAATAAGGAAAGAATATGAAAGGAACATACAGGAAATGTAGGACACCATGAAAAGATCAAACTTTTAAATTACAGGCATAAATGAGGGAGAAGGATTCCTAGTCAATGACATAAATATTCAACAAGATCATAGAATAAAACTTCCCCAAACTAAGGAAAGGCATTCACGTGCTGATAAAAGACACACACAGAACCCCAACTAGACTAGGCCAAAAGATGAAACAGCCTGAAGCATATCGCAATTAAAACACTATGCATATAGAACCAAGGGCTGTGTCTCGTAGGTGATACCAAATCTACTCAAACTGACAACGAAGATTAATTATCACAGAAGATAAAACTGTCCTCTACTTCATTATAGCTAGAACTGAAAATCTGATTGACTGAATTTTGCATATCTGAAATATATTTTCAGTTCATATATGACTTAGTTAGGGTTTCTATTGCTGTGAAGAGACACCATGACCATGATAACTCCTATAAAGGAAAAACAGTTAATTGGGGTGGCTTACATTTTGAAAGGTTTGATCCATTATCATCAGGCAGACATGGTGCAGGAGATGGAGTTGAGGGTCCTACATTTTGACTTTCAGGTAACAGGAAATGGTCTGTGTCACTGGTTGTAGCTTGAGCATAGGAGACCTCAAAGCCCACCCTCATCATGACACACTTCCTCCTAATAGGAAGGTCACGCCTCCTAATAGTGCCACTCCCTTTGGGGGGGGGCACTTTTTTTTTCAAACCACCACAACATGAAACAGAATTTATTTCAGTACTTGAAAGGGGATGACTTTTATACTGTTGTTGATTCTACACCTGTTCTTGCCCACGGTTTGTGATGTCACTAGGGAAAAGTGAAGGGTTTTTAAAACAGAGCTGATTATGCAAACATGGCATAATTGCTAGTAAGGTTGAGTTTTCATTCCAAACTGAAGCTAAAAGTGTTTTATCCCTAGATTAATCCAGAACAGATTGCCATTCCTACCTTGAATGGCTGCCCAGAGACATCAAACATTAGCTCAATAAAAAAAAAAAAAAAAAAATGGTTTCCAACTTAGGAAGGGAGAGAAGAGTGCCAGAATAGACACGCATTATGGTAAGTGTTTTCTATAGCAATCCCAACACTTAGCTGAGTGAAACAATTCATTAAGCCCAAAAAAGCGCCAATAGGTAATTAATAACAACGTGGAAGAGAAAAAATAATGTATGCAGACTCTAATAAGTGCAATAGATGGGAACCACAACTGGGGACTCTGGGGAAGTGGCTGTCAATAAAGAACCTGCTGCGTGACTACAAGGACCTGAGTCCAGCCTGAAGCATCCATGGGAAAAGCCAGGCACTGAAGTGCACACCTGTAGTTCCAAGGCTTGGCCACTGTTGGGAGGACGTGGAAACTGCAGGAGACAGGACTGGTGAGATGAAGTTAGGTCACTGGAGGTGTGCTCTTGTCTCCTCCCTTTCTCTCTACCCCCTGCTTCCTACAAGCCATGAAGGAACTTAAACTGCCTCACCTCACACCTCTGCCATGATGTTCCTTCTGCCTGACCACAGACCCAGACACAATGGACCCAAAAGACCAATAGATTGAAATCTCTGAAACCCTGAGCCAAGTAAACCTTTCCTCCCTTCAGTTTGTTTCTCTCAGGTGTTTCGTCACAGTGACAAAAGCTGATTAACATAGAGGTTGTATTACAGATGGCCTCATCACAAGAGGGTGTTCGTCTCTCACACATATGCTGTCTGCCTGCTGTGCTAGAGTGTGTCCTCGATGGCCGCTGACTCCTTCTCTAGGCCTCATGCAGAAGCTATTTTCTGTGATGGGAATTTCTTTCTCCCAACACCTAAGCCTATCTCATTCTTCCTAGCTGCCCCTACTCTTCCTTCAGACTCCACCCTAGGCACCTCTTTCTGAAGAGACTTCCTTTGACCAGCGTGAGGCTCAGCGTCCACTGTTGCAGGATGGCCCAGGATTTAGAGCACTTGCTGCTCTTGCAGATTATAGTAAGAAATTACCAGTACGGAGTCAGGTAGAAATATAAGGGTATTTAATAGG